CAAGTGGAGATGGTGGAGTGAACTCAAACTCAGGGGACCCAAGAAAGTTTCTAAAGGTCTGAAAAGCAAAAACAGTTGGCAGAGATCATCTACAAGAAACTAATCACATGGTTTAGACAATAAAGACCATTATACTGGGGTCTTTAAAAGATTGGTTTCAGAGGACATGGAATAGCCTATATAATGCAGAAGCTGTTTGGATTGGAAGTCTCTTGTGACTATATATACTACATTCAAAAGTTTAGGGTTGGTAACAATCTTATGCTTTAAGTCTCCTGTGTTCACCAAGACTACATGTATTTATTCAAAAATACACAACTGTAATATTGTAAAATATAGTATTGCAATTAAAAATAAAAATGTCCTAATTTTATATATTCTAAAATGTAATATAATTCTATAATAATGGCAAAGCTGAATTTTCAGCATCATCACTCCAGTCTTCAGTGTCACGTGATCCTTCAGAATTCATTCTTATATGCCGATTTGCTGCTCAAGCTTTTTTTTTTAAATTATAATCAATGTTGAAAACAGTTGCGGTGTTTAATATTTTTGTGGAAACCGTAATACATTTACGGTATAGTGCAGCTTATTTCCTTTGGTGTTCCAGTAAAGAAAGAAAGTCATACAGGCTTAAAACAGAATGAGAGGCAATAAATAAGGAGAGTTTTTATTTTTAATAAACTATTCCTTAAAAGATTAAAAATAATGCAAATAATATTAATAATCACCTCACATGACCCCTAAATATAAAGAGAAAAAAAAAATTCGAAAAAGCCCAGGCCTGACTCAAGGTGTCTTTTTCCGTCTGTAGATTTCCAAAGCTAAACATTTGCTTCCTTCTGCCGTAGAGACAGGTTGTCCTGGTCCTCACATCAGGCATTTATCAACATGTCAGTGTGGGTTACGGGGCCAGGAGCCAAGACTCCTCTGGCTCAGTCCCATACGGAAGAGTAATCTGGGGCCAGAGCGTTGAGCCTGCACCACAGCGCTCCACAAAGACACATCAGTGCAGGGGAAAAGGCAACAACAAAGAGCTTTCACTATGGCCTGGCATTACAAACGTCTCCACGGACAGTCTGTACCCTAAACTGGAGCAGTAACAGATATTTATTCACAAACTGAAAGGTCTTTTACTCCTGCTTTTTGAAAAGAGCTCAATGCAGCGCGCACGCATGTGCCTTAGCAGAACAATACTCGCATCTGACAGCCATGAGATGAGCAGAGGAATCCGTAAATAAATGCTAAACAAGCATGAACAGACATTTTAATGCATCCTCAGTCCTCACATACACTCAAAATATTGCCATTAAATTGGACTGGTTGCTCAAACCACAAGAAGCAACAAATAACAATTATTAGGTGTTTGTAAGGTAATGAGGTAAAATTTCTCTTTTGCAACTCAATGAAAACAACCATAGACTGACAAACAGCAAAGGAAACCACACAATCAGCCATCTGAAGTGTAAAAACTACATAATGACATTCATAATATCACACAAGACATATGGACAGTAAAGGAAATGTGTGAATCTGCTCCACATTTCCATTGTAAGTGCATGCATCTATAATAAGCAAGAGTAGAGAAAGAGAAACCACCAGATCAATGTCTTTTCTACATCAACTATTACTTCCAAATGGCAAATCTCTCTTTACACCATATGAGCATCACTCTTTGACTAAAAAATGAGGTTAAAGTCCCACTTTATGAGGTCACTTGGTTTTGGGATCATGGTGAACATTCCCATAAGAGATGCTGTTTACACAACAGCCAGAGCAAACCTCTAAAGTAACATGAAGGCTGAGCCAAGCCTCGAGGGTCTTCAGATGTCCCATAAGGTTACCTTCAGGGTCTCCAAATGTTACAATCCCACAAGATGTATCTATTTTAGCATCCATCCATCCATCTGCAGTATCTATCTATCCATCTATCTATCTAATGAGTCAAGTAAAATCTAATCAATTGATAAAGTTGTAGAACTGTTGAGTAAAAGTATTCCCACTTGCTTTAACTGCATAGTTCTTAGGGCAAATATTAAAAAGTATTGCTTATTCATTTTGTGCAAATAATCTAAAAGACAGACACCGATTAAAAAAAATTCAGGTGAGAGGGGTGGGAGTGGTTGCTATCACCAGCAGAGGGAGCATGCATGGGTAATCAATCAGAAATATTGAAAAATTGAAGAGGATAAACGCAATCGTTATGCTGTCTAAAGGCTGGCATGGCACCTCCGACATTTTCAATGCACCGCTTCGTCTTTGTCCAAATTATGAGCTAAAACCAGACGGAATAGGATTCATTCTCAATCTGATTCTGAAATCAAACTCAACCACAGGCTGTGCCTTTAGTGGTTATAGTGATGACAGAATTAATTTCCGAGGTGAACTAACCCTATAAGTGACCCCGGGATACTCTCTGGAGAACAACAACAGCTTTTTAGGCTGTTGGTAAATCGATTTCACCCCTCGTTGCGAACAAAAAAATTATTTAAAAAAAAGTATGGATGCACTATATCCCTCCTAATATTATTTATAAAGCATTCCTGCACAAGGATTAGGATAGTCACCATAACACTGCAGTGTATTAGTTAGTCTAAAACCATTACAACCCATACTGTGCATTATCAATACCATAACAAGTCACATAATAGTAAAATAAGGAAAGAGTAAGTGCAAATCCAAGATGTAAATACTAATTTACAATCATGCTCAAGTTACATACTGCCTGTTTGCTTCATATCCACTTTTCCCTTTCAGTTTCGTATATTAACAAAATAGATCAATTATCTATAGTATTGAACATACAGAAAACAAAGCCATCTATTATAAAACCGAGATATTTTGTAATGATAGCCTCTAAGAATAAACATTAGGTGAAGAGACAGCACTGCACAATGAAACAGGGAGGTTCGGGGTTTCAAATACATGTTAGTCTTAATCCACAATAATCCTGGACGAATTCAACAACTAAAGCGAAGGTTTGATAAATAATTATAATTTAACCTATGCATCCTCTCTGACACAAGAAACAGATTGGTAATGAACCTCAGACCCGTTGGTCTCTCTGCAGAGAGAGTGAATAATGTTAGTCAATTATGTGCAGGTCTGACATTAATTTCACCCTCGTAAGGGCAGTAGATCTTACCTTCGTATACAGGGGCCATCGGTGCAAGGATTTCTGTTATTCATGGCAAAAAATGAAGCGACAGCACTGTTCACAACTCAATAAAAATCTGCCATCTTGAGCCGCGGACAGAATCGCTGCTGTCTCCTGCATTACTAACCCAGTTCATCGGGGAGAGAAAAAGGATAAAAGATTGAAAAATCACATCCAAATTTTTTATTTAATAATCGGCTCCGGGTGAGTGATGAAAAAAGGATGTCAGCAACTTAACTCCACGGGTCTCGATGCTGTTTTGGCTCCAAAAGAGAGCCAAATTGCAGGTCTTGGCTTCAGCTGGTGATCATGTCTGTGGAGTGAGTGCCTGCAAAAGTTGCAATGAGAGAAAAGAGCGAGTGTGGAACGGAGCGACTTTGCGTTGTAATCGAACGACGAGACAAGCGATCGTGTTGAACAGAGGCTCTAAATCAAACGACGATCTACTCGATCAGGTCCATATTAGCCTACCCTTCTGAAAAAAGCGAATTCTGTCAAAATACCACTGATATGACATGTATTGATTCCTTACTTTGATGGTAAGACGGTATAGTGATGATATAAGATGTTAATACCGTGGTACTTTGATATACTGAATGAATGGTTATGCATCCAAACGGATTTAAATTGTCAAAGATTAGGCAACCATAATTGCACATGCCAAAATGACTAAGTATGATACCATACCCATATATTTTTATTTTTAATGCTTCTACTGCAACAATAATAAATAAATAAATAAATAAATAAATAATAAAGACTATTAAAAAACATTGACAGCCTATTGTTGTAGCCTAACAACCTTTCTCTATTTTTACGTTTCAGCCTATTATATTAACAAAAACGTGTTTGATTAAAAAACGGTAAGATTTGATTATTGCATTCAAAATATTGATTGTATCCATCGTTTTTTTCTTCAGCAGGTTAGATGATTCTGCCACTATGAATTGTGTGATTGCCCAGTGACGTCACTGGATTTGCGCAGAATAAAGTCCATCAGAATGGGATTATAGAGATGTAATCTTGAGCCAGAATCTCTTTAACATTTATTACTCTCGACATTTCTGGAACCATATATCCATTTTTAATACATAATATGTGCATTTCATAAAATAATTACAATAGATGACCATGATATTGTTTTAGACTGTAACACTGAATTTTCCATAGTTGTTGAGACAATACAATTGATAATATTGCATGGGAAATTGTATTTGCATAAAGCAAGGATAACATCTATCAAACCCTATTTTAGTTTATTTAATATGTGTATAGATTTATAAAATGACAGTAAATAAGATGTATGTAACATGAGCTGGATGCATCCAGCTAATTATGTATAACTTATCTTTGTATGTTTATTGTTAAAGCTAAATATGAATAATAATAATAATAATAATAATAAAGTATTAAAGAGATTCATACAGAAATTAGTTATCGGTCAGCTAGAACAAAACAAAACAGTGATCTTCAAGAGGTCATGCAAGTTTTCCACACAAAACAACAGGCTATTTTAAAATGCAAGCCAAGCCAACCAAATATAGCTATCTGACTGTGGCAAACATAGGCTATAAACCGACGCAATATGAATTAACTGTTTTATTAAATTATTTTATGTTATTGTATATTTTCAGTAATATAAAGTAAAAAGAGCAATTAAATGTGGGGATGATAACTAAACATTACATTTCATACTCACTTTTCTTGCTTGACAATTAATTTAATTTAATTTAATTTATTTATTTTAAATAAAGAACTGTACATTTCTATTTTACTAGTCATCGGTGCAAACTACAAGTACCACAAGCCATTGCATAAAAACTACAAGTTCCAGTACGCCTCCGTGTCATCGCAAGCGGTTGTTGGCAAACACAGGGTAAGCGCGTTGTTTATATCATTCACTATCGCGTTCACCTTATATTTTCATAACACTGTGACATCCCAGATTGACTCGAGAAACCGCAAAGATGATTAGCAGAGAACATCGCTGCTGCTCAGTCATCTTACGTAGCCTAAACTGCTGTACACGGATTTCAAAACAACGGGGGAAATGTGACTGTGACATGACATATTGAACTTATTCTTCATTTTTGTATTGGAGCAACAGAAACACAGTGTTGCCACTACATTTTAAACAGCAATCAACCCGTGAAAAAAAAAAAAGAAAAAAAAAGAACGAACATAATATTTATGTTCCATTTTTTTTATTTCTTCCTTTGTTTATGTGACAATCATGGCAAATCATGCACATTAATAAGCTTTTTACTATAGTAATGCGGCTTAATATATTCCTCATGTCATGGTCATTATTTGTATGTCTTATCTCTGTTTAATCAAGTAACTTACGCATGTGATATTTGGCCCTATTGCACATTGGTCGAAGTCCTTAAATGCTCTCGGTGTTTAACAGTTAGGCCTATTGATAATATAATGTCAGCCATGCTCGCAATAACTTCAGCGTTAACTGTTAAGAGGATATAATTATTAACAGAATGTAAGCATTATTTACATTAAGCTGGTGTGCTCTTGGAGGTATACAGCTCTAGTGAAGATTCTGTCTTTTTAGGCTACATTTCCTTGGAGATTTACTGCACCTCCACACTGACTTGGAAGAGCATCATCACAATGTAGATGACGTATGTCATATATCTCAGGGCCTCTTCTTCACTAATAAGAGCCTTTGGGATTTAGAGAAAGGCATGTTAGAGAAATCATAAAGCTGTAAGACACATGTTACAATGTACAGATTAGAGCATCAAACATGCAAGATCACACAGAGAAGCAGTGAAAAATCAAGTGCTCATATAAGAAGGTTGAAAGAATCTGTGTGTTTTTTGCACGCTGAAGTGAGTTCGCATTACCTAATATAATCTAATTGTATTCTTTTTCTTGCAGTATAAAAGTATTAAACCTGTAAAAAAAAAAAGGGGTTTTGTGTTTTTTTTTTATAGTTTTATTGATTTTTATAGGCTAGTTCTTTTTTTCTTTTCTTTTTTATTATTAACTTGACCATTGCAACTTCTGAGCTTGTTAACCATTTACATTTTGTAATGATCTTAACCACTGAAAATGCGAGTGAGGTGAAAGGGTCAAGTGTCACAGGGCAGTGTTTCCTCATGAAGGATTTGATTCTGTTTAACTATAGTTTTCTGAACTTTCGCTGCCACACAATTCTAGAGTGGTTGCTCTTTGCTAAGTGTTTTTTTCATTCTAGATATTGCTTGGGTAACTGCTTCAGTATAGTAAGATATACTGATATACAGTCAGTATAGATTCAGTAAGTCTGGGATTTCTTTACCTATTTTAAAAAAGGGTAAGTATGATGACAACTTTTTGTTTATTCATTGCTCGTTTTACACTGCAGTGGAAAAAAATCGAGGAACAGTTCGTTTAACTAGCGAAATTAACTTATCACACAGAAGTTATTTTCATCTCTTGTTTTTATTTGTTTAGTTAGCTAGCAGCTAGCTAGCTAGCAGAAGCAAATATAGCCAGGTTTAAATCCCAATGGTGCAATATTAGCTATGTTGCTTTATGCAGTTAACGCTGTAATTTGTGTGTTATGTCTTTATATATTTCATTGTTCTGGCCTATGCAGTAACCAAAATTAATGGATAAATGTTAAATTGTCATTATGCAAGGCAGGTAGGTAGCACTTTATTTTACAGTCAGTTCCACATGGACATATACGTACTTGTTATAGTAATTGCAATAACTGGGTAATAACTAGTAGGTACCAACCCTTATTCTAACCATAACCCATGTAGTTACCTTGTATTACCTTGTATTACCCAGTACTTACACATACTGTAAAAATAAGTGCAATAATAAGTAATATCAATTTACTTGTTTTTGTTGTTTTTTTGTTGTTGTTTTTTTTGTTTTTATTAAGATCTGATAAAATTGTTTATCTGGGGGATTGTAAGCTCACTTTCATATTGTGATGTTACAGTGTGTATAACAAATACTTTGAACTCTAAGTGCATTTAGTTTGGCATCGTCTCTGTGTGCAGGAAGCCAGCGGTGAGAGTCACGGGTCTCATCATGCAGCCTTTAGTTGACATTCTGAAATGGTTTGGAGTCGAGGCGAGTGGACTCTCGGTGTCTGTGGGCCTTTTCTTGCTGTTCCTTGGACTCCTTTACTGGTGAGTAAAACAATTTGATCATGAGGTTTCCACTTGCATCACAAACATTTTTCTCAGATTGCAATAGCAGATTTCTTATGCCAATGTTTCTAACGGCATGGAGATCCAAACAGCTCGGTCTTGTTTTCCTCAGGAGCTGGATGGAATGAACTGATCAAATTCCAATAGCACGTGTATCCGCACTTATCTTTTAAACGACTTCCTGTTTGAATGCAGACAACATCCATATTCAGTTCCCATTTTACAGTCATGCGAAGGCCAGGCTGAAAGAAATTCATAGTTTTTGCTCCAGGAACGCAACTGTGGCAATAGTAAATACAGAAGTAAAAAGCTCAAGTTTTCAAGCCCAACTTATCCTCGACAAATATACCTCAGTAGCATCACATGATTATTATAGCTATAAAAACATTATATAAATATTTCTATAAGAATACGAATAAGAATTTCTATAAAAAAAATCTTTTTTTTTCTTAAACAAATTATTAGAAAGGTCATAGAATATATTATTCTAAAAATGTAAGTATATACTATGGTATATAAATATAGTACATACTTAAATTTCTAGTCAATTAAATATTAGATACTAGAAATTAAATTAAATAATCATGACTGCAAATCATATTAAATGATTTCTAAAAGCCTGACTGGAAAAGTCCTAATGAAGTCATGGAAATGAAATTGTCAAAAAGCAAGAAGAATAAAAAATGTTATGTGGTTATTATGACACATAGATTCCTGCAGGTTAGTCATAGTTTCCATATGGTGATTCTGTCAAAACTGAGCTATTTTGATTTTATTTCTCTTTGTGAATTGAGCGTCAATCTCTTCTGATCTTGCAATAGTGCCAGTTATGCCTTTGCAATGTTTAAAGATGATTGACACAGTATGCATTGACATCTTGTGACCGAGTGTCCGATTTTCGTTGGTTAGCGACTAAATGTGTCCTTTTATTGAAACAAGTGTATGGAACTTTACTAAGAAAAAAAAACACTAAATGCAGTCACTTGGAGTAAAATGCAAAAAACATTCTGTTCAGCAGCATTTTATAGAGAGTGACATGATTCTGTTGGACAGCTGTGCTTAAAAAAAAACAATGCAGTGACTTTAAACAAAAGTGCTCAGTATTTAAATGAAGGATTATTTCAACACTGCTCTTACGGCTTGTGAGAAGCTGATCAGAGTTGCAGGTCTCTATTAAGGTTATATTTAGTTTTCCATATCAGAACTTTTATTGCAGCGTTGGAATCAGTGAATTTAATTACAGCTATTTTTACAGGGCTTAGTCATAGTCACACCCTTCTTTCTTTAACATTTAAACCGTCACCTTTAACAGAGAAAGAGCCCTGAAAGAAGACTTTCTCATGTTGTCAATAGCAACAGGAGTCCTCTGAACAACAGCCTGCAGGGTAATTAAGGGTTATGAACTTAAGCCAGTCTAAAAAGATAAGCAATGTCTTTACTTCGTTAAATGCTGTGGTTTTCTTATTTTTTATTTATATATATCCATTGGGATGCTTATGTAATGGAGGGCATAGCATCACTGCTATGTTTAGTGTTACCACGACTTGTGTCATACAGTATAGTATTACTATGCTATTCAAACCCTTGGGGGAAAACAGTTTTAAGTCAACTGCAGCTCCAGCTAGTTTCATTTAAGGTAAAATACATCTAGTTTATTTGCTGGAGTAATTTTTTCCAAGGTTATCTAAGACATTTAATTATAGGTTACAAATTTTTACTAAATGATACCAGTGAAATATCAAAGAGAAATGGCACCTTTCATGAATACATTTGGATGATTATAGAGCATTAGAGACATGCAATGTTTTTTGTAATGTCCTTCAAGATATTGATATTCAATTCATTGTATTCAAATTATCTTAAATAATTTATTTTATTTAAAATCTTTTATCTCTATCTATTTATATATACTGAAATGAAAAATATAATTTACCATATATATATTTTTTTTTTTTGGGAGAAATAAATGAATACATTGTTATAAATATACTGTCTTTAAAATACATTTATTTTAAAAATACAGAAACAAAATTATCTGAAAAAAGTAAAGATTCTGAAGCATTGGATGATATCCCACGATTATTTAATAGTAACAATAAATATATTTTATTATATGATATGATTAATATTATATTTTTAAATATGATGGTTTCATTATAAATATGGTGATTATCTCCCAACTTAATATATGATATTTACCATCTGAATCTAACCATGTCATGTCAACAAATGGAAAAGTCAGTCAGTTGTTTATTATTGTTACGAACCCTTTTGTTCAAAGTGGCTACGTAAGGGTTTCACAACATAAAGAAGGACACGTGAGACTTGAGTACGCGGCGACAACATTTATTACTCACAAACATCCAAGAACTCAAAGAAACACGTATCACAAATAAAGAAAAATAACGAACTTCAAATAAGATGAAGGTAACAAATATTAACATGACGACCAAAAAGTAATTTAAATAAAAGAAACAAAAAGAAAGAAATGCTTGTTTGCTGGTTCTCCTCTCTCCTGCCATACTCCGTGTCAGCGTCCGTCTTATAGTGGATCAGCAACGACTCCAACGAGGCGCAGGTGTATAATGATACACAGGTGCAGACCCATCAGTAATCTCAGACACACAAAAGAGACACAGAGTCATGACGTCATCATAAGTAGAGGGAAACACGAGACACGAACCGTAACAATTATAATGCTATTTATTGTGCCTTTCGCCCCAAAAGCAGGGGCGCATTTTACCCCCAAATACCATACTTTTACATATTCGTCCGTTATTGATTTTGTTTTTGCTTTTGCTTTAATTACCTTGAAATTACCCTGAAAAACATTAACAAGACATTTATCTCAAAATGTATTCATTAAATGTATACATTTATCTCAAAATGATAATTTTAGCGATTCTCATTTGCTACTTAAATCTACAACATTTTAAAAAGCAATAAATATTAGATCAAATTAGTGCAGAATCAACTTTGTGTTGCTGTCCGCGACCGCGTCAGGGATTAGCCAAATGTCCACGTGCATCATTAAAAGCAGTTGTTAAGAAAAGTGAGGAGCTGAATTTGTGTGTCATCTAGTGGTTTTAAAGAGAATTAGGTAAAATGCGCCTTGTACCCCGGTGCGCCTTTATCCCCGTTGGACACTACAGTATACACTCACCTAAAGGATTATTAGGAACACCTGTTCAATTTCTCATTAATGCAATTATCTAATCCACCAATCACATGGCAGTTGCTTCAATGCATTTAGGGGTGTGGTCCTGTCAAGACAATCTCCTGAACTCCAAACTGAATGTCAGAATAGTAAAGAAAGGTGATTTAAGCAATTTTGAGCATGGCATGGTTGTTGGTGCCAGACGGGCCGGTCTGAGTATTTCACAATCTGCTCAGTTACTGGGATTTTCATGCACAACCATTTCTAGGGTTTACAAAGAATGGTGTGAAAAGGGAAAAACATCCAGTATGCGGCAGACCTGTGGGCGAAAATGCCTTGTTGATGCTAGAGGTCAGAGGAGAATGGGCTGACTGATTCAAGCTGATAGAAGAGCAACTTTGACTGAAATAACCACTCGTTACAACCGAGGTATGCAGCAAAGCATTTGTGAAGCCACAACACGCACAACCTTGAGGCGGATGGGCTACAACAGCAGAAGACCCCACCGGGTACCACTCATCTTCACTACAAATAGGAAAAAGAGGCTACAATTTGCAAGAGCTCACCAAAATTGGACAGTTGAAGACTGGAAAAATGTTGCCTGGTCTGATAAGTCTCGATTTCTGTTGAGACATTCAGATGGTAGAGTCAGAATTTTAAACAGAATGAGAACATGGATCCATCATGCCTTGTTACCACTGTGCAGGCTGGTGGTGGTGGTGTAATGGTGTGGGGGATGTTTTCTTGGCACACTTTAGGCCCCTTAGTGCCAATTGGGCATCGTTTAAATGCCATGGCCTACCTGAGCATTGTTTCTGACCATGTCCATCCCTTTATGACCACCATGTACCCATCCTCTGATGGCTACTTCCAGCAGGATAATGCACCATGTCACAAAGCTCAAATCATTTCAAATTGGTTTCTTGAACATGACAATGAGTTCACTGTACTAAAATGGCCCCCACAGTCACCAGATCTCTACCCAATAGAGCATCTTTGGGATGTGGTGGAACGGGAGCTTCGTGCCCTGGATGTGCATCCCACAAATCTCCATCAACTGCAAGATGCTATCCTATCAATATGGGCCATTTCTAAAGAATGCTTTCAGCACCTTGTTGAATCAATGCCACGTAGAATTAAGGCAGTTCTGAAGGCGAAAGGGGTTCAAACACAGTATAAGTATGGTGTTCCTAATAATCCTTTAGGTGAGTGTATATTACTGTACAACATTGCAAACATTTTGAGAACGGATAGTGAAAACAAAAGAAATAGAAAATAAAACGGCTCATAATATATATTATTTAATTTGTCCTCTTGAGTTTAATTGGCAACATTTTCTGAAGGTTAAGTTCCTTTTTTTTTCACTGTGAATTTATTTATCTGTTTGTTTACAGAGAAAAATATTTAGAGGCTAAAATATTAGGCCCTGTGTTGCACCGGATTTTTGGAAGTCCATATAACATTATCTAAGAAATTGCATAATAAATGATAAACAGAAAGAATCGAATACTGATCAACTGATTTTTCCCTCCATGGGGTACAAATGCTGTCCCTGTTATTTAACTTTTAGCAGTCTTACACACACACACACACACACATACATACACACACACACACACACACACACACATGCACACATACACAAAACAAGTAAATTCCTGTCTGTTGGCAAAGGCACGACTGTCATTCACAGTGGATGTAAAGAGGTTAGTTATGTAAGGGCTCACTACTCTGTCACTCACAGTGCAAATGGAGATTTTGGGATGAAACCTTTCTGCACAGGGTTAGCTATGACAAAGAGAATAAAAAAAAAAATCTGGAT